AACAACAACAAAAAAAACAGGGTCATTACCCACTCTGCATAATACCAGGAGGATTAGAGATAATCAATGTCTATTTGTCAGTGCCTGAAAAATATGGTGTTCAATAGACAGGAAGTGATTCCTTTTAACCAAATAAAGGAACTTCATGAAATAACCCTATTAGATTTCCACACCCTGCTCAACCTATCTTAAGCAGAATGACTTATATTCATGTCATACAACACACACACAGAAATCAGAGACTAATTCAATATGAATTCACACATCAGTTTTTCCCACTGCAGAACAGGGACAAATCCTATCTCCCTTTCCTTAAACTTGCCACAAATTGTAAAGGTTAAGATTGGGAAGCCTCTTTTAGCTTCTGGGAAATGAACATCGGGCTGGTGGTGGTGGTGGTGCCTATGACTGTCATGATTCTGAAACTGGCCTCAAAGTCCTGACTCTACAAAAACAGGGAAGGGATATTCACAGAAGTAAAGTAGGGAAAATGCTCTTAAAGAGAAATCCAGTTATCCATGACTAACTGCAAAGACCTCAAAGCTGACCATGAAAAACAATGAGCCCAGAAACAAGACCAGATTCAAACTCAGGGCTTAACACATCATCCATTTAATGTACAACAAAGAGGAAAAATTCCACCTGGGAATCTTTATAATCTGATGGCTAACATATTATGCATTTTTCATCACCATTTCAGCATTTTCATTCTGGAGCAGTTGTTTTGCTTTGGCCTCGATTCCCCACCTGCAGACTTCAGGGCACTGCAAGAGGTCTGTAGGCTGAATTCCTATCTCATACGTACATGTAATGCTATTTTACAAACACAGGAAGATGATGAAGTCATTACTTGCAATATATACTCAGCTGAGTGATATTAAATAACTCTCATGAAACATTTGCAATTATAAGAGATACGAAGTAAAACAGTGAAACAGTTAAGATCGTTGAAATATTTTAATATTAAATAAAAGCTTCCTGATTTTTGTAAGTGTCAGGAGCCACTGCATTATAGTTTACAATTTGACTAAGAAGGTATTTTTTACTTTATAATATACAAGAAGGGAAAAAAAGTTTTGAAAAAATGAAATCTTAACTTGCATTTATTTCCACTCCTAGTCCCCTCTTGGCCATTAACTTTTCCTTGGCATTTAACATCAAAGCTAGTTACTCTTTCATTTTTAGCCTTTCTGTTGGAAGAGATACACGGCTAGTTCACAAGCCACTGCAACTCACCAATAGACAGAAAAGGCAGTGCACTGTGTATTAGGGAACCATATATGTATCATTTCATTCCTCCCTTATAATAGAATGAGCTCTCATTTCCTCCGTTTTGCTCCTCCTTTACCTCCTCCTCTCCCTGAGGGTTTTGACCACAGTTTTACAGAGGGTAAGTTATAGGCCACTATGAATATTCCAATTATTGCAGAGAAAACAAGTATCTTATCCAACACTTATGAAAAATGTACTCCAAATTTTAATTTGCAGTACAACAAATTAAACCATAATTTTACAGTTTAGTTAATGGTGCAACATTAAAACCATAACTACAGAGAGCCTCAACTTTAAGTGCTACAAAGGTAAGGAAATAAACTTACTTGCATCTAAGGAATGTTACAAAAATATCTAATCTATAATTTAAAGTTACATGGGTTTGCTTACGTTGTTCTGTAATGTGAACCTCTCAGTGGATTACCGTGAGCTGGAATGAAAGCGTAGGAGATGTGCACGGTGGTAGTACTGGGGACTGAAGAGTCATATATATCATTTACTAATTAATTAATTTTCTGGGATATAAACTGCCCTAGGAGTAAGCCAGAAGAGGTTGTTTAAATTCTAAAAAATTAAAATATGGTAATCTGATCCCTTGGAAAGATACTTACTCACTAAAACCTGACAAAAGATACCTGTAAATTAAAATATACTACTAGAATTTTGGCAGCAGAATACAAATCACATTTGTGCAAACACAGCTAAATCTAGTCACAGACACACAGGAAGTGTAAATTTCAAATATGAAAAAAAAAAAAAAACTGCTTTAAAAATGAAAACAAACCTTGAGCTCTGGGCAGAGCCTGAGTGAAGAGGAATAACGAAAAACCTGGAGATTCGGTAAGGCAATCCAGCTTTCTTTTGGAATGGCAAAGGACCACCTGAATCAGCACTGCCACCTCTTCCTTAGGCAGCAGCTTTCCAGACTACAAAAGAGCCATGGATTACATCAAAGGACCCTTCTTCAGGTACCAACAACTCCATTTACTAATACGACCACTGACAAGTTACATCTCATCAGCCTGTTTCCTCTCTCCATAAACTGGAGAAAATGAATCCTACTTCACCACATCACTGAAAGGAGCAAGAAGAGTTTACCTCTGTTGAAGGGAGTAAAAAAAAAAAAAAAAAAAAAAAAAAAATCATATATACTGTGTAAATAGAAAATGACAATCTAAAGGCCAGTTATGATTTCTGAGTTTAAATATCACTAGAATGGAAGGAGACTCTGTTCCTAAATGGGAGAGAGATTTTGAGGCTCACAAAAGCTGTTCTACTGTATCTTAGAGCAGAGTGACAGATGCTAAAGAAAGTCCCCAAATAAATTAATAAACTGGGAGGGAGGGAGTGCAAAGAACACACATAGGTATAAAAGTAGAGGCAGCGACTGGGTGCAGTGGCTCATGCCTGTAATCCCAGCACTTTGGGAGGCCCAGGCAGGTGGATCACGGCGTAAGGAGTTTGAGACCAGCCTGACCAACATAGACAAACCCCACCAATACTAAAAATACAAAATTAGCTGGGCGTGGTAGCGTGTGCCTGTAATCCCAGCTACTCGGGAGGTTGTGGCAGGAGAATCGCTTGAACCTGGGAGACGGAGGTTGCAGTGAGCCAAGATCACAACACTGCACTCCAGCCAGGGCAACAAGAGTGAAACTCCACTGTCTCAAAAAAATAATAATAATAAATAAAATAAAAAATAAATAAAGTCGATGCAAAACACTATGGTTGTACAGGTCTTTCAAGAATCTCTCTTGACTGGCTGAGTGTGGTGGCTCACACCTGTAATCCCAGTATTCTGGGAGGCCAAGGTGGACAGATCACTTGAGGTCAGGAGTTCGAGACCAGCCTGGCCAACATGGCAAAACCCTGTCTCTACTAAAAATACAAAAATTAGCTGGGTGTGGTGGCGCACGCCTGTAATCTCAGCTGCTCGGGAGGCTGAGGCAGGAGAATCGCTTGAACCCAGGCAGCAGAGATTGCAGTGAGCCAAGATCGCGCCACTGCACTCCAGCCTGGGTGACAGAATGAAAATCCGTCTCAAAATAAAAACAATCTCTCTCGATTACTTTCTCACTTTTCATGACGTATTTGGCAAGAAGAGGCATAAACACAGCCATCTCACAATTAAATTCAAACTTAAGAAGTCCATGTCTGTCTAGGAAGGATAAGTTTAATTGTTCAGTTTTCATAGTGCATTTTGGCTACGTAATGCCATGTACTTAATGAGTACATGTTTTGTACTCAAGCTGGTAAATTTGTACCACCCTGGTAAATTTTCCTTTCAAAGCAAACTTAATTATGTAGTAAATATGCTTTATAAAATTTTCAGCATCAGAATGCTATAGTCAGCATGCCACGTCATGAATGTAAATTCTACACCTAACCCTGACTCCTTAGATGGCTTGGCTACCCAATAAAGTGAAAGCATGCAGTGTATGTGATACTGTGCTACACAGATGCACTTTTCCTCTGTGCTACAGGGAGAGACCTTCTTTGGCAGAGTCTCACTTTCCTCCCCTCTAGTCATATGCTCACATCCCTTCCTTGGAAATAAAAAGAAGATGCCACTGGCCTTAATAGGACTCAAACATTTAATTTGAGGCCATATAATGATCCCGTCAAACTGATTCTTCTTAGCCATCCCACTCCTTAGTGTCCTCCTCAAGACTGGAGTTTCACCAGGTAGATAAACAGGCGGTAAAAGAAGGTTAGGCTTTCACTGAGGGGAGAAGTCAATCTGAGTTAGTCTGGAGAAAGAGGAGCTGCCAGGGAAATAAAGATGGAAAACGTCTGTAGCATAAAACCAACCCTAGCGTTTTATTCTCCTTCTATGAACATTTGAGATGGAACACGAAGTGAATGTGAAATTAAAATCTACCTGGTGAATTTGAGAAAAGTCACTCTCAATTTTACTTTGATGACAAATGGAATTAATAAAGACGCCTGGCTCATATGTTAAAGTACCTTCTGTCTCGGCGAGGAAGCCTGGCTAAGAAACCACAGTGGAGTTAACAAGCCAGACAGCAGACTAAACACCTCAGAACTCGCTGCTGTGCCTCATTCCCGGTCTCTACCTTTCCGGTGTGTGTCTGCATCACTAATTCCCTCCGTTTGGCACGGCCTGGCTTTCCCAAAACAGAAACCAAGGAACCGGGGTCCTCTGTTTCAGCAGCTGAAGAGCTGATTTCTGAGCACGGACACTAAGATTCTTTTCTCCTGTCCACCTTACACTTCACCCACAACTCATCCTCCTCTTCCTCTTCCCTACGTCCCAACCCCTTACCCTCACACTACCCTGCCTCCCAGGACATTTATGTGCATGACCTCAGACCAGCAAGGGAGGAACAAAGAGCTGCTGCTTCAAGCAGCAGCAGCCGGAGGAGAGGGTGGAGAGGGCAGCTGGGGGCTCCAGGAAGACTCCCCGAGCACTGGCAACCCCAGCGCAGCCCGGGGCAACCCAGCCTGGAAAGAACACTAGTAGAGTCCTGGCAGGCGGGTCCGCAGTGCACGCCCAGGGCCTTCCCCCAGCCCGAACCCAGGGCGGCAGCAGCCAGAGTTTGGCAGAGACCCTGGGTGAGAAGCCAGTGGTGGGGGGCGGGCAAGTGAAGCTGCAGTACAGAGCTGGAGATGCAGAGCCGACAGTAGCAGCGCTCCGTGCCATGGACTTCCCCACTCACGCCCTGGACCCAGACCCGCGCCCTGGACCCAGACCCGGCCCCGCGCACCTGGACCAAGCGGCCACCCTGTTCCCTCAGGGCACTCTCTGGGGACTCGGCTTGGGCGAGCTTGGGAGGCTGGAACCGCAGCGACGAGAGACTTCACTCCTCCATCCTGGGACCCGGCAGCACGTTATAGACAGCCGTGCACTTCCTGTTTGAAAACACAGGAGAAAGAGCGAGAGAGATCCGAGTGTCGGCAGTGGGGAGGAAGGAGCGCAGGGCGGCGGGGAGCCAGGACCAGGGGGCCACCGCTTGCATAACTGCCATGGTAGGCACCCAGCGCTCCCCTGGCCGCGGCGACCCCGCCGCACCGGCTGCCCGCGTGGTGCCGAGGTGGCGCGGCCTCGGCCCGGGCCCCCCCTGCCGGTGGCCTCGCTGCCAGCTGCCCGCCCGCTCGCTCACAGTCCTTCCGTTTGCAGCTGCTGCTTGGGTTCTCCCCTCCCCACAAGGACCTAGATCAAGGGACTCCACGCTTCCTCCGCCGGTGCCCAGAGTGGTTGGCCTTCTTTTTCCTCTTTTCTTCACCCCCCCAACCCCCACCCCTACCCCCAGAAAATAATCACCTCGGGGAAGGTGTAAAGACAAGACTGAGCCTTTGCAGGGGGGTGGGGGCTGGATTTATGCAAATTTTCAAAGTTAATAGCCACATCCCAGTATAGCCACTACAGCTCAGCAGCTGTGAGAGATTCAGGATGGGAAATTACTTGTCTTGTGTCTCGCTGGCTCAAAAGAGAAAGTGTGCACACAGCTGCCAACACTGAGCAGCCAGGAACTGCAGAACAACAGTAACAACAACAAAACTACATAGTATCCTCCGTTCCTCCTAGGATCTTTATTCAGATCAACCTGTCAACCTCATCCTCACAGTCTACCAACATTTACATATACCAATTCCACATGGAGCATAATCGCATGGTGCATTCTTCCAGAAAATGATTCCGTAGTTCTCTGTGCTATGTAATCACCGAGAAGTTCCATAGTCCTAGGATTACATTCATTCATTTTGTTGAACTCTGACTTAAGTGGACTTCAGTATAGTGTTTAAAAGAGTACATAGATGGCTTAAGAATCTGCTGTATGCAGAGTGTGCCGGCTATGGTGATTCGCATTTGTAACCTGCCTGCCCTTACATGCACAGTCTACTCGGTTACAAAGCGCTTACAGGACTATCTCTGACAAAAGGCTCCTTTTATCATCAAGTTGTTGGCATTCATGGTTTCATACTCAAAATGGAAAATGGAATACAAACAATAATTATTCTACATATAAAGCTCAGTTTTGACTGAAGCAGAAAGGTTCAGATAGATATTAAGCTCCTATTCAGTGCTAGACAACTTCACATTTTAAACCCCTCTTGGCCTTAATATTTTCCAACAGATCTGCAAAAGCCCTATTCCCAAGTGAGGAAACGGTCACAGAAATTAAGTAACTGTTCCCATGTCTCTGCTAGAGAGTGGTCAAATGGAGAACTGAATATAGGTCTTTCCTGATTATAAAATCTGCACCATTTCCCCTACACTGCGAATTCCTACAATGATCATGAATTTTTTTTTCTGAGACAGAGTCTCGCTCTGACGCCCAGGCTGGACCGCAGTGGCGTGATCTCAGCTCACTGCAACCACTGCCTCTCGGGTTCAAGCGATTCTCCTGCCTCATCCTCCCGAGAAGCTGAAACTACAGACACACGCTACCACGCCCAGCTAACTTTTTTGTACTTTTAGTACAGATGAGGTTTCACAATGTTGGCCAGGATGGTCTCGATCTCCTGACCTCATGATCTGCCCACCTCAGCCTCCCAAAGTGCTGGGATTACAGGTGTAAACCACCATGCTTGGCCAACGATCATGAATTCTAGGGGGAAAGTTCAGCACAGCAACCATCCTGTGATCCATCCCTTCCTCTCTGAATGATCCTGCTACTTACCAGCTATTGCTATTGTGCTAGGCAGTTTCTTTAACCACCTGAACAATACGTACCTTAATTTCTCGGGCAGAGGACACTGGCTTTTTCCATTATCTACTGCTTGCTGTCAGTCTTTTCAGAATTACTTGGTGGCAAAAGTTCAAAAGGTTCTAGAATGGCTACTCATATGCCAAGGTACAAAGTCTGTCCAGTTCAGAACCTAACGAGCTGACTAAAATTTGCTCCCTGCATTATTTTTTCTCTAACTGGGACTCTTTAAGAAAGTGGTAAATGCTGTTCACAAAAACACACACGGCTTCAAGTTGACATTCCCTCATTTTCTGTTGCCTTCTGCTTTAACACTTAGTTCACAATCACCTGTCAGTAGCATGCTGCTATGAGCTCCCGATGCAGGCCAAGAAACAGAACACAAATGAAAAAGTGATTAAGAGTCTTGTGCGCTCAAAAAAAAAAGGGGGGGGGGTCTTGACAATACTGAGGCCTCTAAGACGATGAAGTATACCTCGCCCACCCTTTTCTCTCCACCTCACAGGCTTGAATTGTAGTGCACTCAGATGACCATGGCCTTCAAGTACAAAGGCAGGGGCTGGGAAGAAGACTGCAAGGACCAGTGAGATGCATTCCTGTCCATTAGGCACTCACAGTCTAATGAGGGCTTCTTACTAAAAGACTTCTCGAGGGATCTTAGCATCCTTTTAGGGTCTAGCTCTGTCCACCTTTTTCCTTCTCTCAGTCCTTTGCTTACCGTGGTCCTGGCAACTCTTCATCTCTTTTCACAAACTTAATACTTCTTCCCAAAGAGCTACCACATATTTCCCACAAAGAACTCAGTGTGGTGATTGGGGGGGTGAAGCAGGACATTTAGCTAGAAACTTCTCTCATTTAAAAAACCCTGTCAATTATTACCATGTTTTTAAGGACGCAATTATGTTTTGAAATAACTTTGGGTATCCCTCCTTCATTTCTGTTACTCATTATCTAAGAGCCCAAAGGAAAACCTCTGAAGAAAAATATTTAAATTCTTAAGAAAAGGCAAAGGAAAACTTAAACCTGCAGAGCCTTTGTTTTTTATATTTGGGACTCATGAGATTAGACTAACTTCTTAAAATCTCTCTTAGTTAGGAAAAATTCAAAGTCATTAATCTAAAAACAGTCAACAGTAGACTATTCCTATTTTGTCCAAGTACTGTACTGAGTGATAATTTAATGATATATAGGAAAGTTTGTATGGTTTAATAGGTAACAAAATACAGAAGAGCATATGGTGGGAGACTAACAATGGTATTCACCTATGTTGCTATGTCCACGCCCAAATGTGTAATACTCTCCCCTCCAGAGCAGTGGCCAGCTGTGGGGGAAGGGCAGCCACATTTCTCTTTCTTAGGCTCCCCATAAACCCAAACCCTTCTCCTTATCAAAAATATTTATTAACATTCACTCTGTAGGACTCCCAAAGTTTACAGTTTGGAGAATACACCACAGCCCCTGACATTTCCTAATCCTAACTACCATGAGGCCTGAACACCACCTCGTACTTTCCCTGGGTCAGCTATTCGCCCGCTCCTTCTGTATTTCATGGAGAAGCGTTTCTTTCTCATAGCCACTGTTATGCTTTTGTGTGTGTGCGCACGTGTGTATATATAAATTAAAATCACAACCTCATAAAAAGAAAAACTGCACTCTCAGGTAGGCACAAATGATGCCACAAAAGATTTTGGAAAAATGTGGAAGGTTCACTTTGAAAATCTCCACTCCCTAAGTACCATAATCCCCAGATGAAGAGAGCAACACTGTGAAAGCCATTTTAGAAGCTCCAAATTCAGTTTCAAGAAATAGCTTTTCTGAGGACTAATGGGTGTAGAGGAGAAGATGATAAACTCATCCCTAAAAAACAATGCTGCTTATCTTTCTTCATCTTTAAAAAGAAAGATCTTAGTTTGGTGGTTAAAAATGTTTGCCACAAGCAGTTCTCTGTGTGAACATCAGAATTCTTGGTGATTATTACACATGGATTTTGCAAACAAGAAAATAAAAAGTGACAAGCTGTCTGGTGACTGAAGAGATGACCTGTTTGCACTGTCAGTCTTCACAGCAGTGTCCCTACCTTGTCTTCACCTCCTGGGTAGCACATGCAACAGGATTTTCTGGGAAGGAGGTCTCTGGCACTCACATTCACCTCCTGGCCTCTGTAAAACCTGAACTGTGGCTTTCAAGGAAGCCTTTCTCAGAGCCAACTGGCTGGCCTGATTGGCATTTACCCATAGAGGGTTATTAGCCATCTTTAAGGAACCAGAGTAAGTGTCATTTCACATGACAAAATGCAGCAAGGGGTTGCAAATCATCTTTAAAAAAATATGTCTGTAAGATAGTTTCCTGGCTTTGAGCCAGCAACAAGGAAAGCACTACTTAAAGCACCCCACAGCATGACTTAGAAGATCCAGTCACAAGGCAGAAACATAGGGCCAGGGTGGCTACAGGCCTGAGCTGGTATCTCTCTAAGCTCAGTGCTCCAATTTCCTCAGCTTCCAAACACACACAATGAACCCACACACCTTGCACAAAATTACTAACATTACATAGGACAAACCCTCACAGGCCCTGCCTCAATGAATTCTCAGAACTGCCTTCGCAGGGAGGTGTTATCATTAATGTTTTACAGAAGCAGCAGCGGGGCTCACAAATGCTAAGCAATATTCTCAAAGCCTTAAGTAATGGAGCAAAAATTCACCTGGGTCTGTTCTTCCCTCTTTTAATTGAATAGAAATGAGTGGGCGCATTTTGGCTGTGGATATATTATTCTGCACTACATATCTTTTGCTCAGAAAAAAATCCCACCTTAAAAACATAACTTGTAAGGTTCTCTCTCAAGTGCATCATACACCGTCATCACCTCGCCAGATTTTGGTACAGTGTAAAGGATAAACATGTATTCTGCAATAGGCCAACTGACATTAAGCCATAGGAATATAAGTAGATATAAATTAAGTAAAATATGCACTTGAGCTGCAGCTGGATATTATTCTATAAAATAGTAAGACAGATCCACTGATCAAACTGTGATAAACAAAATCTTAATACATTTTTCCAAGCTTCCTCTCTCATTCTTCAATTAGTAAGCAAAAAATGCATGTACAGTAGGACATGTTGGTTGATGTACTGGGATTTACTAAGCATAATACTGTGAAAGAAGGGTAAGATACCCCAAAATTCTGACTACATGCAAATACC